TACCTGGCGATCGAGGAGCCATGGTACCAACTTTTACACACTCGACTTAATAAAAACGAAAACCAATAAACAAATACCACAAAATAAATGTTAGTTGACTGGCCTAGACCTTACCGATAAGGTACCGTTCACTAGGCAAACAATACAGTCACAAAAAAAAACCGAAACAATATTTTCCAAAATTAATAAAATATGTGGGTAATATAAAAAACACGCTTAATACTAAATTACGGCTAACTATGTTGCAATAAAGCAACCACGCTCTGCTACCAAAAAATGTTTGATTCCGAAGCTGATCTTAGCGCAGTGGAAGCAAATTAAAGTTATCTTAAAATCTAAAACTAAATGGTCGATCAGCCTCGGAACAACATTTGACTACGATTCGTAGTGCTCTTTACTATAGCTAAATAAAATAAATTTAATGAGAGAATTTTGTTCCGGAAAGTTTCCGGCCGAGAAATTCTTGTTTCCAAAATCTACTTAAACAGGGCCCAGCAACGAATTGCTTACCGAGCAAACGATGATGCCGTTTCTTTGTGAGTTTAAGTATGACAGGAATCAGGTATTCAGGATATTTTAGGAGCGCAGGAATAGGAATAACCTAAACTCACAGCGCTGGAACATCCGCTCGTTCTAGAACTCCTTTCCTCCAATTTGCACTACAGTTCACAGTTCGACATCACATAATGTTTTTTAACACAAAATAACTAAAAGATTTCTCTCCGAATGAGAAATCGGCCCCGTTGGCCTCCAATCATTTATAATTAAAATACGTAGCTATCGGCAGCCACGACGACGACGAGCGACGACTCAAAGTGAGGTTATGTTACCGGCGACCACGTTGGCCTCAATCAAAAAGCCGAAACCAAAATTCACTTGGTTCACTTCCCCACCGCACAGGGAAGCCATGGCTTGTGGCAAATAGCACACGAGAAAACCGCCAAAACACCTTAATTTTACACCACTTAAAACTAAAATTCGCTTCAACAACGCTAGCGTAAAGATGACAGACGGGGCGGACCGAAAAAGTGTTGCCAGCACCGTCCGCTCAAAAAGGTACGAAACCGTTTTTGATACGAAACTAAACACGGGGCTTCTACCGCGTTGGCGCCAGTATAGCCGCGAGGGCCATAAATAATAGGATTAACTTCAATGGATGATCTTTATTCAAAGATATGGACCCTGCAGACGTAACAAACATTAACACACTGTGATGTTGAGTATGGAGGTGAGCAGATGGTTGTCGGGAATGATTTGAGGCTTACCTTGGGTGGGTCCATTAATGTATCACAAAATATATAAGATAGACAAAATGTTCACTTTCACTTTTTGGACTGTTTCGGGAACTTTACTTGGTTAAATACAGTTGCAAAAATATGCGAGAGTACAAATTAACAAGGATAGGTGTTGACTTCACCGTCAGTTAGAGAGGAGTGCGTCAAAAAAGCCAAGAACGGTGACGTTTCGGTGCCGTGTTCCAAATTTAAGTTATAAAATGATTCGAAAAAGGGAGATGTGAGGGTGGCTTAGGGAGGATGTCAATGCAGAGTTTGCACTCTGCTACAATACTGCTGCTAACAAACCAGCAACAAAATTAAGTTTGTAATGCTGAAAAACCTGATATTTAAACGTTGACTACGAAACCCTATTTGTGGGCGTGTCTGACACGCTCTTGGCCGGTTTTTTAAGTTGCTATGGTAAAATACGATCAAATGCATCTCGTGAAGGTTGGATTCGAATTATCTATAAAAGGTATGAATATTTGTACTTATTAGTTATATCACGTCAACACAAACATTTGTTGTCTGGGGGGCCAAAAAAAGAAAAAAAAATAAACTATTCAGTTAGTGCAATATTTATGTTATGAAACTGTTTTAAACCTTCTTAAAAGTTTAAATCTTTTTATGAGCCTGTATTATTAAATGACATTCAAGGAAATCTGTCTTAACTTTTTCATATCAAGACCACTGTGCAGCAAGACAAGGTGAGGAGACCGGGGCAAAGTGGAACGGTGTAAATTGATTACGTGTAAAACGGTTAGCGCCTACTTATATGCGCCTTGCAACGGCGGCGGTTAGCGCAATCTCGTTTGAGCAGTGTAAGAGATTTTTCAGACGCAAGGATTTGCGGATAATAATGTGGAGGAGGTAAGCTGGTTATGGTAATGAAGTGACGTGGAGTTTTTAACGTGAGGCGGTTTAGTGGTTGAAAGATTTAGGAAAGTGTGCTAGTTTTTGCTTATACTAAGGATGTAGTAAAGTAAGGCCTGTAAAATAATCTGTCTGTAGTAAATAAAAAAAATATTTTTGAATTTTCTGTACAGACGGAATTACGGCATTTTTGTGAATAAAATTTTACTTGTTAAGTCTAATACTAAATTTTGTTGTCAAAATTATAATATTGACAAACATACGAAAACTGTTCAAATATGAAGCTAGCTTATTGCATAGAAAACGGCATAAAGTTTATTATGTAAGACCAAGCTTACATGAAATTAATCCGGATCTGATGAAAATTTAATTATCCTTCGTCAGTTTTTAAATACGCAAAACAAAACGCGACATTTCATATTTCCAAAACACATTTCACTTGTCAAAACGCTTCAGATATCAAATTAACATAGAATACGTAATGCATAGTCTCAAGTGTCCCCGAAAATTTCTGTTTAAAAATTCCGCTGTCAAATAAAGTAAAAATAAAAAGTAAAGTTGCGCTCACATGGCCAAAGCATAATTAAAGAGTTGAAATGAATATTTAAATGTGCGCTGGAGGGCGCTCTCGACAATGAAACCTGTCCAAATCTAGAAAGATACGTATTTTGGAAGTTCACAGTTAGGTTAAGGACACAGTACGCCAATTAATGGAAGCTATGTAGGAAGAGGAACCTACTCATATTTTCTAGAAGACCTTCGTGTAATATATATTAAGCTAAAGCGATAATTACTGTGACGTACAGGAGATTTACAATTGGTAAAAAACACAACTCAACCAAATTAATTGCTTATTCTTGAAAACTTCTCTGCCGAAATTGGTTACACTTTCATGTTTAGATAGTGGTAATTTTTAAAGTTTTGCTTTCTTTATATATTTTACATGTAAAAGTAAAAAAACACTGTTAAGTACCTACCTAATTACCAATTATCTTTTCTGCATACAGCAACCATTATATTAATTTGTTTTCACATGACCTACCCTATACAACAGATTAATAGTAATAATAATATTTTGTTTGTCGTGGGCTTATTAAATTTTATATTTTTTAAATCTGCTCTCGGTATATCCAAACGCCGCCTTCGGGACAAGTCAAAGATACAGATATGTAAACGCAGGGAGCGTTTGCCAAAAATTATAATTTTAATTGCAGACCCACTCACCCCCAGCCTCCCCCGGAAATAAATTATGAACTTAACGGGGCCCTGTTTTTTTATAGGGGCCCTGTTTTTTGGAGACATTTTAATAGGTGCACGATATGGTAACACTTATCTTTGAGGGCCCTTGGAAGAATTAACAAAATAATCTTTGGGATTAAGACTTCGGCAAAGAAACTCCCTTCTGAGGTTCAAAAATTTGGTGCTATTTGCAATGTGCAAATTCGAATTGCAATAGGAAAGAGGTGTTATTTATTGATCCAATAATGCCATAATTTAATACAAATATTAATAGAAGATAAAACTATCGAAGTTCTTTACACCTAAGTAAAGTAGTTACTTGCCTAGAAGAAAACTAGTGAAAAGTCCATCCAAGCAATAAAATCTAACCTGTTCTCAAATCAAACCTATTTATTGCAACTAGAAGTTCCCCTCTAGCTAGGTATATGCAAGTAACTTTAACCATACCTCCTTTAACCCTTACCAATACATCGTTTAACCCTCTAAATTTTTAAACTTTCATTTCCCTTCCAAAAAAACCTTAATGACTCTTCCAAACACACACGGCGAAACAAAAGGGGGGTAGTCTGCCGAAAAACTCGAATTATAAAGGATCGCTAACAACTTCCTTTTCACTCATTGTCTGTGAAGGAATTAATGCATACAAGTGATTCAGATTTTCGGCACTGGTTGAAGTGCACCTGAATTTTTGAATTTGAGTGGGGTAAACGAACGTAGGTATTAACCTATATGATATTATTAAGAGATACGAAATATATTCGTAGGTAGCATCACAAATTAGGGAGACGGCGGCGTCGAGCGGGGCGCCTTTACAGATGGCTCATTCCGTGATAGCGACGGTTTTGACGCTTACTGACGTTTACTGGAATAAACTAGAATCTCAGAGGAACTCCAAGGTAACTAACGTCATATTTCATGCATTAAAATTGGCTCAGAATAATATTACGTTCTTGTATTAATTTTTGTTCTTTTTTTTGAAATTTTTGACTGTAGAAACCCTGGCTATGTACCTAACAAGATAATCGCGAAAATCCTAGGTCGAGTGATCCTTCTGTAAACTCTCTATTTTTGGTAGCATAAAACTCAGGTGACATGTGATGAGTTCTCTTAATCAAACCGTGTGAAATAAAGTCAGATTCTAGTATTCACTCGCTCGTATACCTAAGGAAGGCAATAAGCGTTATCGGATGTAAAAATACGGTCGCTATCGCTACGTCTGAAAAAATATTTGAGGGCCGATTCAGAACGATCGTGTATTACTACTACGGTGATATTTTGCTAGCTTGTCTAAAAATGGCTATGAAATAAAATAACCAAAGAAAATTCAAATAAAAAATTATAAAAACAATCAATCGCCTAACAAAACTCACAAAACTTTCACCCCACATTAACTTCACCCATTACAACCTGACATAACACTTTATGACGTCACAACACCCATACCCTCTATTATCGACACTATTGGTTTGTAGACGCGCCCTTATTCCAATAGGGTTACCAAATCTAGAAATCAAAAATATTCAGTTCGCAATTTATCTTAGAATGAATACCTCTTAAATGACTCCCTGTGTAAGGTATACAATACAATTTGTGGAAAACTTGCAAAATTTTTACCGCAGGCAGGATTTAAACCTGTGACCGTCAGCACCTGTACTGCCGAGGCCACTACCAGCTGGGCCACCGCGGTTCTGTCCTAGCCTACAAATTAAGCACAAAGCAAAAACTCTGACACCAGGGTTCATCGGGATTTTGGACGACTCGGTGTCCCACTTGAAGAAGAAGAAGCTATGTCTTGACCAAGCTTGTCTTGCAAGCTTTCAAAAAAATTCTCAGAAATTGAAAAAAAGAACTTTCACCCCACATTAAACTTCACCCATTACAACCTGACATAACACTTTTTATGATGTCACAACACCCATACCCTCTATTACACTATTGGTTTGTGGACGCGCCCTTATTCTAAATAAACAAATGCCACAATCTGCATTTTTTTATTTGGCCAAGTGAAAAAATTATAATACAAAGGCTCTACTGATGGGTTCTATCTCTCATACGGTTAAAAGTAGGTAAGTGGGCACTTACTTAACTTGAAAAGCTTGAAAAGAAGCCTGGTACAAGTAGCGAGAAAATTTGTGTTTGCCATGTCTGGTCGGAGCCTACATTTTCTTTTTTCTTAACCTATACTTGAAAAACACAATATTACGCAAGATTTTCCCGGAGACAAAATACTAAGACAATCAGACCATGTCTGATGCTTGACAACCCTAGCAGCGAATGTTGTGGCTTTCCATCCGATGACGTCATTTCCGCCCCATTTGTAAAATTTCTTTTTTCTGCTTTTCATCGAGCGAGTCTCTATCTCCTTGTGATATTTTCTTAGTGTTCTTTCTTATAGAGACTTTTACGATTGTTCTTATAGGACATTTCTATATAGAAGGACGAGGTTAATAGATTTTGACAAAATTTTACCATTGACAGCTGGCCCAAAGTAAACCATAGTGCCAGTGAAGTAAGTTAAACACCGTGTTTTGGAGAAAATGCAATAATTAGACACTGTTAAGGCTGAATTCATTTCACTTTGAGACCAATCGAGAAAAATCGATTCTGGCATAATAATAAAGTGTGTCAGCTGATCCAAAATTTTGTATGTCAGGTTATTTTTTTATTGCCAGCATTGGTTTCAGAAGCTCAGAAGTCCCGTCTCAAAGTTTGCCAGCGAGCAATGGAGCGCAGTATACTAGGTCTAAAGCTCATAGACCGAGTCAGAAACACTACACTGCGTTCCAAAACTCAAATAGCCGATGTAGCTTATGCAGCTGCAAAGCTCAAATGGGATTGGGCCGGTCATGTCTGCCGCATGCCAAACGAGTTATGGGCTCATACTACCACCAGCTGGAAGCCAAGAACCGACAGACGTCGTCGCGGGCGACCCAGACGCAGATGGCGAGACGAACTGGACGGATTTTCTAAAAATTGGCTTGCGCGAGGCGCGCTTATGGAAAAGCTACCACTACTCAGAGCCTCCATACATTTGAAATAAGGTAGCTTTTTCTGAAGCAAAACGCGAAATATGTCAATGAAAAACCTACCTGAATTCAGAAAATTGACGCCATTTTGAAATCGCCATGTCACATCGCTAGGACAAAGAAAATTCTAATTTCAAAATTTCTTTTAATTTCAAGTACGAGTATATCTTATTCAAAGTCGTAAGGTGTCATATAAGTACATAAAACATAATCGTGTATCTATACAATGACAAATAGGAAGTAGATGTTTGATTCAAAGATAAAAGATAGTATAAAATCTCTTGGATAGCTCGAGTAGATTCATAGTTTTTCCGGCATACAGGAACTACGATGAAGTCATGTTCAAAATCCTACTAATATTATAAAGGCGGATGTTTGTGTGTGTGTTTGTTACGACATCACGCAAAAACGGCTGATTAGATTGACATGAAACTTTGCAGAAATATAAAAGGGCATCTGGAATAACACATAGGATACTTTTTACCGCGGAAAAATGTGTCATTCTCACGGGATCACGCATTTTCCAATATTTTTGAAATAGGTGGCGTGACTGAGCCGATTCGCGTTTTAAACGTTTTCGCCGAAAAATAACAGCGACATCTCTTGGCGAATAATGCTTTTTTCCCGCGGAATAATTGGTTGCAGCGGGTGAAACCGCTGACGGGCAGCTAGTATTATATATTTTTATTTTAGTGCATGTGACTTTTTTTATTTGGTAGGTACGGTACCATCAGCAGAAGATCAACCTACCTATTTAAGGGATCAATTTGTACTCGTTTGTATGTTGCTATACTGGTAATTTATAGAATAATTTTATACGGCTTTTTCATACAGGTACTAAAGTTACCCAGTATTGGCTGGTACATCAAGGTGCTGCAGATAGTACCTAAACTTCTTATCTAAAGGCGATGTGGCGCAGTGGTTAGTATGACTGCCTGCCACGCAGAAGGTTCCGGGTTCAATCACAAAGTTAATATTTATCACTTTGTGAATTTGTTCCCAGTCTGGTTAGGAGGGCATTGCAGGCGGAACCACCTGATTGTCTGGAAAGCAAGATAGTTCCGTGCTTCGGATGGGCACGTTATGCCGTCGTTCCCGCCTCTGTCTATGATGGCAGTCGTTACACAACCATGTCAGAGGCCTGCTAATTGAAGGAGGCGATAGAAAAAACTCAGGCACCAGGATTTATCGGGTCGTTAAACGACTCGGTGTCCCACACGAAGAGAGATAGAGAGAGAGAGAGAATCTAGAGGTACAGTCAAGCCAGGTTGAGTAAGATAATAGTGTTTTGCCTGATCTGAGCTGATAGTGAATCTATAACTTAGACTTAGAAAAAGGCTGTTAAAAGTTAGGTGTGAGGTCCGGGTTGGCGCGAAATGCTCGTAGAAGCTCGCTGCCGCGCACGTACCGCGCAAATACCGCACCTTATCGCGCTTTACCGCGCACATACAGCGGCTTTTCACTCCTTACCGCGCCGTATCGCGCCGTACTACGCCTTACCGCGCCTGATTTTTGTTTGAGAGTCATTCAGAAAACTGGGTATCACCATAGTGACAGGTTGTCAGTCTGTCGCCTAAAATTACAAAACACATCAACACTCAAATCCCTTTGTCGCTTCTTACTACACCCACGACAAAAGATATGGGGTGATGCTATTATCACACAGCTATTTAAATTCCGTGTGATGCCGGCTATGAATAGCATCACCCCATTTCTTTCTTGTGTGTGTCGTAAGAAGTGACTAAAGGACTCGAGGGTTTTATGTGTATTGCAAATTTAAGCACCAGACTGACAACCTGTCACTATAGCGATACACGACAACAGCTAAAACGGCCCTCAAATACTCGTCAGACGTGACGAAAAACACCGTATTTTTACGGCCGTTGACGCTCTGCCTATCCCGCAAGGGACAAAGGCGTGATGTATGTGTGTATGTATCTAAATATTAGAGCGATAGTAATGGATCAATACTTAGATTGTGTAAAAGTAATCGCGAGTGCGTATGAAGTTAACATTCGGTACCTGCCATTAATGGGAGAAATATTCTTAACATCGTCACAAACGCTCTTTATTCGTGGTAACTCTATGTGTCTTATTTTCGATTATAAAATGTTGATAAACTCGTAATATCCTAATTCGTATCTTATAAGGATCTGAGTAGCGGTAGGTTAAAAACAGTTCAAATCCGGAATGACACAAAGAAATTGCTACCGCTATTCAGATTGACAGCGATCTGAATAGCGGTAGGTATTACATAAGCGCTGCGGAGGCACAGGATCGAGATCAGTGGATAAAAGGGAGGGAGGCCTTTGTCCAGCAGTGGGATCCAGATGGCTCAATAAGATAAGATAAGATTGGTTTCATTGATGAATATTCAGTAGGATGCACTAAAATGCGTTTCTTTCGAAACACAGTGTATAAGCACAGCTTAGGTACGTTACCTAGAAGCATTTTGATAACTTCTTAGAGTTGTCCATGAAATTATTTTCATTGTTTTCAATATGCAACGAACCAAACCTCTTCCGTACTGTCTGAAGTATCACCATTATTTTTATGCCAAGCCCAAGTACTCCATCCATTCTACTTGCATCTGCATAGTTCACGTCTCAAGAAACGCGAAATTATGCTCTCCAACCGAATAGAGGGAAAACAAAAAAAAAACAATTCTGTAAGTGCACCCATACACGTCCAGACACACGCAGGTCATGCGATTCAGCAACAAAAACCCATTGTGTTGTGAATGGGGCGCTTTTCGCGCGCAAAACCGCGGGAAAACGAATTTTTCATGAACCGTAGACTGGTGGATAAGGTAGACGGAGAGACGCGTACAAGCAAAGTGTGGCCAATGAAGATGTGAATTCAAAGTCTACGGGCAGACTTACACAAAAAGTGCTAGTATCGAACATTACTAACGTTGAATAACTAAGGTAAGTACAATGAATTCATAATTATCATCATCATCACGTCAGATTATTGATAGCCTAATAAGTCTACAAACGATATAGACTAACATTACTTACCTAAATTGGTACTTACTTTATAATAAAAAAAAACCTCCGTGGTCAATTATTCAGTACTTAGTTAATTTATTTCAACTTCTTGCATACTAATAAGATAAGATCTACAAAAAGATTATTAAAAGCTTTCAAAAGTAATCGATAAGAAAACGATTATTTACTCAAGCTTCTGAAGCTCTGTCTTTGCTTTTCCTTGATCTAAGTTAAGAACATGTTTCTTTTCTCTTTAATATTTTTAAAAATGGAATGTGTTCTCCGTCGTGTGAATTCTGAATGCTGGCATGATGTAAGTGTATTGAATTCTTCTTTTAATTTAAATAAATGGATCCCTTTCTTGTGGAGAAAAAAATGTGTTTCTTTTTCAATACATTTTATTGATACGATTGATATCCGGAAAGCAATATGTTCGGAAGCGTAGCGTATAACGTAGCTTGGTTTGTTACGTTTCTTTTACCAAATGTTTACCAAAGAATTTATGAGGTAAATTGATCAGAACATAACCTGCCAGGTGAAAAAATGGTATGTAATCTATTTTGACGTTTCAGAGAGGTTGCTGGCACGCAAGCTTGGTAGACTCCCGCTTGCTCTCATGTGAAAAAATATTATTTCTGATTATCCCAACGCAGCTACATTATTGTCCTCAT